CCTGGTCGTCGATGTAAACTACAACCGTGTCAAAGTCACATCGAACCAGGATCATCTGGCACAACACCGAATATAGAAGTAACATCGCAGTTTCTCCGAGACTGCCAGCATCTCAAGTATGTTAATGGAATTTGAATGATGCTCACACAGGGCCTCACCAATCCGCCACTAGATGCGTGTGGTGGGCAGTTAACTGGTAGGGTAACATGTCCGTCATGACAGTTAATGAAGGCTGCAATCTGTGAGAGGCCCACCCTTGTGAGGTTGGCAACGTCAAACCACAGGAGGTGCTGCACAAGTCAGGTCATGGCCTGCACTGAATGCAGTGAGGACTGGGCCGATACAAACAAATAGGTGAATGCCACCAATCTTTGTTTCCACGTCGCAGTCATATCGCCTTTACTATCTGAGCAGAGGCGGAAAAAAGGCTGGATGGAGCCACCATGAAGTTGCAGCGAGAATCTTTGTTTGAAAACCGCGAAGTTCTCAGTGCTCTGGCCTGAAAATGAGTTGCAATTGTGTACCCTTCAGGCCATGGCTCGTTCCCCATGCTGATGTGTTAGACAGTCGACTAAATCTCATCAACATCTTCCCAAGGGAAATACAAGACGGGCGCAACACTGTACTGGCCCGATGGTATTGATGTCAGCCTCAAAGTCTCTCTAACGTACTCCTACGAGACAGATGGGTGGAGGTTGTCATGAGTCAGGTAGGTCACTTATGGAAGTCATCAAAACAACTGAAGCCGAATCGAAATCGTTGTTACCAGTGAAGGCCTTATCCTATGTGGCATGGCGTACAGAAAATGTTGCTAGCACGGCCACACAAAAACATCTGGGCAAACTTCCAGAGGTATGCAGTTGAGAAAACAAACAACTGTTTGTTCTTCACCTGCGCTGGCCTGACTGTGGGGTTGATGGCTATCTGAGATTGACCATCCGAGTACGTGTAGTCGACATCAACCAATATGGATGTAAACATCAATATCCACCGCAAAAGAAAAGATCTTTGTCCATTAAAAACTTAAAAGGTGGGACTCGAATCTTTGGCGGATGCCCCTTTGACGGGAGAAACAGTTCATCAAGCATGTTGCCCTGGCGGGCCAAGATTGCTAGGATCTGCACTCGTGTAAAATTATAGAGTACTGAGTGCAGACCGTGAAATTGACAGTGAAAATAGCGGTCAATACGTCTGCTTAAGACTGTCGAGTCAAGATTAAAACATTAAACCTTATGTACTTCATAAGAATAAAGAGGGAGGCTGACCGCGTATCGCCGAGCCCACTTTAATTCTACTGCAAAGTGTATTCAAGCTTCTGCGAGTATTATTTACAAAGAGCCGCTTGAATAATGGGGTCCCTCTACTGCTGGTAGCTTGTGCTTAGCTGCATCGAGGGAAGATGTGACAAAAAAGTACCGAATTTCGCTAACGGAAAACTGTAATGATCACATTATTGCTTGAAGAGCAGCAGGCAGTTTGAATACAGGCACAATCTTTCGAATGTGGTCCACAACATGCCCACCCAGTCGCTTCATTGTGATGGCAGCTGCCATCTGATGAAGAACCGTAAAACATATCTGGAGGGACGAGTTGCACACGGCCACAGTCAGGTGTTGAACAATTCCCTCGGAGACAATGGACAGAGTACATACACAAGTAATGCACACATGTACCATGTACATGAAAATGAAAAATGTATAGTGCGCAATCATGTGTGGTATACATGAACATGTACATGTATGAACATGTGTTTCTTCATTGTCGTACATGTACATGCGCCTCGTTGTGCTTGGGCCACGCAATCGTGATCAATGAATGACGACTATGAAGCATTCACTGCAGAAAAGGACTCCAGGAGCACGACTAACTGTGTGCGGTATGTCCCTTCATTCACTGGTCACCCAACCGTGACTGGTGGCTGGAGACTGTAAGGCGAGACCAACAACCGAGGGTTGTGGGGCGTGGCTCACCACTCCAGGGGGCCACTCATTAGGGCCCGCCTGGCGTCCTGCAGACATAGCCGATAGTGTAGGTAAAATCGACTGAAATGCCTGCAGGAAACAGACCTCGAGATCAAGTCCTCACGTCAGGAGCGTTTGCCCCGGTGGGACCGGTCAGAGGAACCGTCAGAATATGAAGAAGAACGGCGTGATCGGCGATCAGCTTTCTTCTTCTTGCTCTTCCTCTTTGAAGAACGGCCCCAGGGTGTGTCTGACTACAAGTCAGAAGACACCTGGGGCACCGGGACCCCCGAGCAACGGACAAAACCCGATGACGAGAGTGGTCTCTCAGAGCGAGATAGAACGGGGGCCGTCGGTCCGGGATCCCCCCGGGCCGGGTGACCGGCTCCGCATCGTACCCGGCCGCCAGTACCTCAGGCCCCGTGGGCCCACGGGGGCTGAGTGAGAGCTGGACAGACCGGTAGCCCGTGTAATAGCCCATCCCGACAACCAGTGGTGTTTGGCACTGTGTCGGGAGGACACGGGTGACTAGAGCCCACGCTTGCCCTGACGGCCCTTCTTAGGCTTTGCTCCGGCACAGGAGATATGTTTTGGAGGAACCTTGCCGGAGTGTGCCCTTAGTTTGGGTGTTCCGCCTGAGTTGACCGGAGAAGGTGACCGAGGTCCCCTTAACTGATCAGCGGAACTGCCAATGCCCCCAGCTGGCTGTGGCCGAGGGTGCTAGACGAGAGACTGCTGCCGCGGTAACGTCGTAGCGTTAACGGCAGAGTCCCCCGAGAACTCGATCCGTCCCGTGAGAGAGGAATTCCCCCCGGTTTGTGACAGATCGGCCCTCCCCAAACGCTTCATATTTATGAAATAAATAGAACCAAGAAGATGATGAAAACTCTACAAACTGATGAACTTCTCTTAAGCGCAAAAAAGGGTAGTAAATAACGAGGAAAACAGCGAACTATTTAACGCACGTCCTACCCGACCTGCCACTAAGAGAAAAGAGGACGCTCACGAGGCACGCATGCCGCGGGGTATTATGGGTAGGGCGCCAGAGGGCGCTATTGAATACAACTCTTAGCGGAAAATACCTGCCGGTAGGGGGAATATGAATAAGTAGTATTGCTCTACAGGTAAGTATTCGTTCGTAGACCCCAACCACACTTCTGTGTAGTAGAGTAGTATTGCTCTACAGGTAAGTAGAGTGAAGTAGACTTTGTGCATTTTGTTTGTTTGAAGCAACAAACGTTCTCAAAATCTAAAGAAGGGTGATAAACAAACCTGATGAAGTTTCAGCTCAGCTTCAGCTGTATTTTTCGAAAAAAAAAATTCTAGGATCTTGATTTCAAATCAAAAGTTGCTAAACCATGTTTTGAATTGGGCCTGAATTCAGCATCCGAGACAGGTTCGTAATGAGCTGAATGCAGCTATGCGGTGTCGCGCACTGATCCGACGAATTATAGAGTGTGCGCGCCTGTGCGTCATGTCAACGCTTGCGTGCGCTTCACTGTATAAAAAAACAAGTCAGGTGTGTTTACAAACACAAATGCCCCGCAACCGTGACAGTTCCCATGACATAACACCACTCTTTTAACATCAACTTACATGTACCTTGGTCACATGGAACGTTCATTGACAGCATTAGTGTCTTCTGTAGGTTTTATATGAATTAATCCCTAATCCCTATGATCATAGAATAAATACAAGATTTCTATTGTTTTAGCCACTGTGACCTGTGACCTTGACCCTTGACCTTTCCAATGCGATAGGCCTTTTGGATTACCAAGAATGATCCTCAAACCAAATTTGAAGTTCACATGTAAAGTATTTCTCAAGTTATCGCGCTGACAAAATTTCTTATGTTTTAGCCACTGTGACCTTGACCCTTGGCCCCAAATGCAATAGGCTTCTTAGGATTGCCAAGGACAATCCACAAACTAAATTTAAAGTTCATATGTAAAGTATATCTCAAGTTATCGCGCTGACAAAATTTCTTTTGTTTTAGCCACTGTGACCTTGACCCTTGACCTTTTGGCCCCAAATGCAAAAGGCTTCTTATGATTGCCAAGGACAATCCACAAACCAAATTTGAAGTTCATATGTAAAGTATTTCTCAAGTTATCGCGCTGACAACATTTCTATTGTTTCAGCCACTGTGACCTTGACCCTTGACCTTTCGGCCCCAAATGCAATAGGCTTCTTAGGATTACCAGGAACAATACACAAACCAAATTTGAAGTTCATATGTAAAGTATTTCTCAAGTTATCGCGCTGACAAGATTTGTCCAGACACACACACACACACACACACAGTCGTTTTTTGCTATGCTTCCGAGGATTGGCTTTGTGTTTTCCTTTGTCCCTGTAATATAACACTCTCCCATAGACTAAGCACACAAACCTGCGTTCGAGGACAATAGGCACCTTCCTTCGAGGATCAATGGCCCCTTTGTGCTCCTTTTGTTGTCTGTCCTCAGGCGTAATGCCATGCAGGAACACCCACACCCAACCCCCCCCCCCCCCCCAACACACACACACACCCACCCACCCACGGAAGGACAAGGCGGAAACAGTATGCCCCTTCGGCTTCGCCGCAGGGCATAAAAACTGACGGAAGACGCATCGTTGGAAAGGCCTTCTTTCGTTGATTTCTTACAAAATGACAGGATACCAGAAAGAATAATTTCACAGGAAGTTTTAGACTCCTTGCTATCTTTCAACCAAGTATGTTTTTCAACAATAATTACGTCAGTCACTTTTTTGATAGCTGCAAATGATGGATTGTAGCTTTAAGCATGTGACAATACTTGACCCTAAGTGATACCATCCTTCCTATTAGCAGCATGAGAAAAGACCACAAGAACCTGGAATAAAGACTGGACTGGTACAAAACACCTTCAAGTGCCTAAACATGGAAGTGAGAATGACCAGCATAATAAGTGTCTTTGCACTGGTACTGGGTTCAAACTCATTATAGGAGAGGGGCGTAGGGTGAAAATAACACTGATTAGAACAGATAAAGTATACATGTATTTCATTAAAACTTACTCTGAAGGAAGAGATGTTATTTCCAGACAGGTTTAATGCTTCCAGGTTTCTGTTCACATCCAAACAATGTCCTGAAAATTTAATACAATTTTATTTTATTAGACACTCATTGAAGATTCTATTTGTTGGCTAAATGAATAAAAGTGAAGCTACCCTAATGCATGAAAACATCTGCTAAATGTCAAATATTTAGCTTCCACTGCCCGACATTTACAGCTTCAGGTATTGTTCTAGTTCCTCATTGAATTGATCCTTTCATCTTCAAATCCCATCCATATCTGCATATTTAGTCAGTTGTTGGCTTTATTTTGGGAAAATGTTTGTGAGACAAACACAAAGGTGATGCTTGTGGATAATTTAAGATAAACTTCAATGATCATCCATTACATAGAGGAACACATCTAACCACACATATGAACCCTAATACATGATGAACAATTCCACACTAATGGGTCCAAAAGTGTGACACTTGAGAAGACCTTTGAGTTTTGATAATCAAAGCAAGATCTTGGTCTCTCAATTTTTGCTATAAACATTGCAAGCTCCCAACAAATGAAACTGGCCAACAATTTATGAACAGTTCTTACAAAATAACGTAACAAACCTAAACTGCTGTTACACATTACACGCCATCTTGTTGAGCGAGAAGTGCAAAGCCTATACGGCATAGAATGGGATACATTTGGAATTCTATATGCTGTGTTGTACGTACTGAGCAGCTAATGACCTTTTAACAGACAGATATAAGTGACAGATTTAAGGTATCCTTGTCATTTAAAAAAATGCTTCATACCCGGTATTTTTGTTCGTATTCTTACCTTTTATTATGAAGTTAACAAAAATTGTTTTGACACTTTGCAGTGCAGGTGTCGGTTAGGTGTTCTTATTCTAGGCCTGCATGCCATTTTTTTTTAAAATAGCAATGGTAGGTCACAAACTGTTTAGGGCCAATGCCCTTCTGTTTCAGAAAAGTATAAATTTCTGTTTCCAAAATCCTAAGTTCCGTTTGATGCTGAAAAAGTCTGTTTCAAATATTTTCAATACATATTACATGTATAGCGCATTTAAACAAACACCATGTACACTGAGACGAAATTGTCGTTTGGTTGGAATGGGGGGAAAACTGCCCCCCAAAAATTGCTATTTTATCAACGGCCGACCAATTTACAGACGTAGTATTTAACTTCACCACAGTCAAGTCATTAATACTGCACTCCCACCAACACACAAGTTAGAAACATGCAATAGATATTGATTTATTCGGATGAGTACGGGACGAATTAGAATAAATCTACTTTATCATTGATATGTAAATGAGACACGGTAGAGTGGTTAAGGGCGGGTAATTTGAATAGGGAGTGGCACAGGAATGTGTGTGTGGTTGGATTGAAGGTAGATCACTTCACGCTTGCGAGCAGTAACGACAACACACAATTTTGTGGCGCTGTACTTCCATTGTGTTATTTCAGCAAATGGGAGAGACGGCAGTTTTACTCTCCTAAAGTAAATTCGACATCTCATTTTAAGTTACATTACACTCAAGGCTACTGACAACAGAGCTCGCCTACATCGGCATCAATCAAGACAAGACAGTTGTCAATAGCAGAGGGACCGAGGATCGGAGAGCAGAAAGCAGAAAGCCAGTTTACGAAGCTAAGTTAAATTACAGTATTTTTAATTTGCAAAAATGTAGTTGCAGATGTTGAAATTCACAGAAATTTTTTTGAGAACGGAGAGAATTCTGGTTCCGAACAAAGAGGGTTCTGGAGATTTACTTTCCCACCATGAATTGTGGGGACTTGTACTCTAGTTCTTTTGTTATAGGATGTAACCAGTCCCAGAAAATGGTCAATTTCAGAAAACCCACACTCTACTTGTTCGAGACGAAATATAGGCCCTAGATTGAATCGATGTTCTGCCATATACAATTGTTGGAAACCCATAATAAAGCCGTTTATCATTAATCCTTTGTTAGTTTCAATTCATTGACAACAGGTGAATGTCGTTGGAAAAGGGAGTAGATAGCCCTGGCATCAATCAGTCAAAGTTGGTGATACGCCCATATTTCTTTGTTCCTTGACAACATGTATGATTCATGTTGAAGTTTGATCTGAAAATCTTAAATATCACCTTGTGAGCGTTTGACCAATCAGGTTTTCCTCAGTTTCACAGAAATTGTTTTTTCCAATTTGTTCCAATTCCTACTATCATGTGTCTTTAAATTGTACCAAAATAGTACGACAGCTGGAAAAAGGGGCAATTGCAAGAACAAGGATAGTTGTCTTAGAAGACAGCTTGGGACACTCCAGTTTCCTTCAGAAAGTCATAGACTAGAGAGCACAGTGCTCAAACCAAAAGTGGTTGGTTCTAAAATGCGCAAAACGGGGTTGAAGTGGTGAGGAAGTTGGTTCAGAAGGTGAGAAATGCAGAATTATGCATACATGTCATGTATAGATGACTTGCTTAATGATGGTTTAGAGATTTGCCATCTTATTCCATCTTATAACAATTGCTTTTAGAAAGTCAGAGAGCACATGCTCAACTTAAGCGGAGAATGCACTTGGATTAGCAAAGTGTTTTGTCTAGTGCGAAAGCGGAGAAGTGTAGAAATACAAGATGTCTTTTAGACGTTGATTGAGTTTGCCAGTTCCTTCAAAACCAGAAAGAAAATTTAGTTCTAGTAGGCTTGACTTGAGATTCGTAAGTCCAAAGATAATTAGAATCCTGTTTCACTGTATACATCTGTTTCTCAACAAAGTTCACTAGTCTTGTTCGGAGCAAAATTTCCTTCATTTTCAAAACTGTTCCACTGACGCTGGACGCACTGGCAGTACAAAAGGGATTCAATAGAATATTTGGGCATCGGTCAGATGGCGAGATGACCCGAAGCGCGACTCGGAGAGAATCGAAAGCAGTAAAATTGGCCTTAAGTTAACCCTCCTATGGAAACATGCATTGTCAGCCTAGTTTATTACTTGGCTAAGTCTTGGCCAAGATAACCCCATTGGTTTAATATGAAAGCCACGAGTATCACCATACAAGAGTTTAGTGGTTTACGTGGCAAAAAAGTAAGGGTCAGAGTCCTTTCTGACAGAAGTATAAAACGAGATGCGTTCAGAACGCGAACAAGACAGTCTCAGCAGACTTGAACCAAAATATGGTGATATCCTCAGCGGATGTTGGGTATTGTAAAAGTTACAATTGATATCCCCAGCGGATGATGATTCAGATTTGGCAAATAAGCTTTTCTTTTGTATTCAGAGAATAGTTGTAGCAATAAGCAGTGGGAAATTCGCTTTTAATTAAATGCACTTAATAAAGAAAGTGTTTAATAAGTTGACGTATGATTTTAATCTCGTTAAAGTAACAATCATTGTTTATTTCCTTTTTGGAAGCTCATCTTCAACAGCAATAATTGGAGGCAGCGGATTCCTCAATCGGCCAAAAGTCAAGAGCTGGATATAGTCTCGCCAGTCAACTGCCTTCCATGCTACTCGAGTCACAAGCCCCATCAACAGTCTGGCAGTACAACTCATCCTTCACGAGATGGCAACAATGGGCAGAGTTGCACGGAATATCATCCCTACCCGCAGATCCTTACATGGTAGCCTTATACCTGATCCATATTGGAACTGTGCAACATCACCATGCACCTACAGTCACAAACTCTCTAGCTGCCATGTCATGGGTTCATCTCATGGCTAGTTGGGACCATGATACAACCAAAGACCCTCTGGTGTCATACAACGCGCTAAAGGTCTGACAAGAACACTGGTTAAGCCAAAGAAGGATACAATTACACCAGATATTCTTTCTTATTTTACCCAAAATAGGGTAAAGACCGTTCAGTACACATCTTATTTCATATAAGAATCCTGGTCAAGGCCCTTATTTCATATGCCGGGTCTTATCGGCTCAGTGAGTTAGCTGCACTTTAATTGAAGTATTTACGTGTTATCTCATGCACTCGGCCAAGTGAATTCAGTTATTATTGCGAGCTAATTATTGTCAACATGTACAGTTGCAATGTTAGAATTGTATATCAAGTGAGTCAAAGTCTCCCCTTCAGATAAAGACCTTCTTTTGTGTTCAGAAACCGAAACAAATGTTAAAGAAGAGTATAAAGTGATTTCATAGAAGTATAAACCGATGAAGTACTCGTGAGTTTGAGAGGGAAAGTTAGAGTTTTCCCAGAACAGCCCCATAATGCTGTTTGGGTCTTAGTGGCTATCAAAGCAGATATCCAACAGGCTGTTCAAGTGTCATGGACGCTATATCAGAGACAGCGAAGGATACTTTAATATATCCAAGAGAGTGATTGCAATATGATGTTAAATATCTAAATCCTTTTGGGGATTCAGTATTACAGACCCGTTCTTTATAGTTCATACCGGTTGCTGCTGCAAGCACAAATACCAAAATCAGGATGATTTGATTGGTTATTGTGTAGAATGGTGTTTAAATGATAAATATTTATTCGGTTGAGTACCGGGATGAATTAGAATAAATCTACTTTATCATTGATATGTAAATAAGACACGGTAGAGTGGTTAAGGGCGGGTAATTTGAATAGGGAGTGGCACAGGAATGTGTGCGTGGTTGGATTGAAGGTAGATCACTTCACGCTTGCGAGCAGCAACGACAACACACAATTTTTAACACAGTTGTTAAGTCTGGTTGTAATTTCATAGTTGTTCTATGTCTCAAACAGTATTTATAAGAGACGAACATTGCCACCCTTGCCTGAAGGAGTTGTCTTGCATAGTTCAGTTGTACGTTTCCATTTTTCCAAATATGGTTTTGGTTTTTCGTATCTGGCAGTCAACACAGCAATGTTAAATGGGGTACAAATCCAGAAACAGCCATAATGTAATAGACGAGTGGTATCTTGCGATTATTCAATTAAGAATAGTTAAAGGCTAAAGGCTCTGAAGCCTAAAGGATAGTTCTGTAAAGCTTAAAGGTTCAAATGAAATCCACAAGTGGCAATCAAGGTATGGTCAGAGTAGTCTCTGACGGAGGTATAAAACGAGATTTGCAGGTTGGCAGTAACATTCATAAAGATCAGATCTACTAGATGAGATGCTAGAATTGTACTAGCGATCTAATGCGTTCAGAACGCGAACAAGTCTGAATAGACTGGCACCATAGTATGCGTGATTTATCCTCAACGGAAGGTATGGTATTTGGTATTGTACAAAACCAAAAAAGTTAGTTCTGAAAAGCTTGCCTCAATATAATATCAAATGTGATACGAATATTCAGAAATAACCATTACAATTGTAAAGAGGAGGGAAGTCTCAAGGTTAATTCTATTATTGATTACGCAAATATGCTAAATGAAAGGCTCTTACGCCTAAATGATAGACCCTAGTTCTGTAAATATTGTCTCTATCAAGACGTCTTTAAGGTTCAAATTATTGAATGACCGTAATTAAAACACTGTCGTACCTCATCACAGCGATGAGACTAAACATAATATCAAATGGGGTGCGAATATTTAGAAATAATCATAACAATTGCAAAAACGAGTGTTGTCTCAGGTATAATTCTGTATAATTAATTGATTACTTAAATGTGTCTATAATGAAAGGCTCTTACGCCTAGATAATAGATGATAGTTCTGCAAATACTATCAAGTCTTTAAAGGTTCGAATTATTGAAAGATGTAATTAAAACATTGGGTCGTACCCGGTTGCTGCTGCAAGCACAAATACCAAAATCAGGATGATTTGATTGGTTATTGTGAAGAATGGTGTTTAAATGATAACTGTATTTGCCATGACGTCACACAAATCAGCTGGCCGAAGCGAAATTCATGTCTGCCATTTTGTTTTCGCGCTAACGTTAGGCGACAAAATAATATATAGTTTGCGGTAGATTTTTGGACCTCGATAAACGCAAAAAGCACATGTACAGCAAAAGTTAAGATGAAATGCAAATCAATGGTTGATAAATGAACGGAGAAAATAAACCTGCCATTGGAGCAAAAGAGAACTGCGAGAGTGTGCCGTGAGTGTGATGATTTCAAACCATGCGCTGACCAACAGTTACGACGCGTGCGGGTCTGTCACTACTGTAAAATCACTACGGTAATGATCTCGTAATATTTATTGCTCTGATTTTGAACGTACATGTATTGTCCCCCAACAATTATGATCTTAACAATGCTCATTTGTAAAATATTGCTCGTCTGTCGTGCACACCACTATTGCAAGTCAGTCACGAAGGGAAAGTGGTCAACAGTCCATTTACCATGTGTTAGCAAGCGTGGACTGCCACAATGAGAACTGGCCACGCGGTACTGGTGCAACTACGAGCATAAAGTGCCCGTAAAAAACAATCGGGTATAAAGTGGAAAATATATACACAGAAAAGAGAGATCATATTATGTGAATTGAGTTGGAGAAATCTTCTTTCTCCATCGATGTTTTCATGGCATTTTTACAATGCCAAATTTGACAAGGCCTAGATTTTCGAACAAGTTCTGACGTGCATTAGTACTAGTGTCTGTACCGGTATGTAAAAAATAACTACAAAACCAGTCTTATAGCCCAAAGTAGATAGAGGGCGCTTTAGCGACATGAAAAACAGCCAGACTGTATGCTGAAGAATGCATACCGAGTCTGTGTCTTGTACTTTTTTTCAGCTTTCATATGCAGAGCCAGGCAATGTATTCGACCCCATCGCATGAAACAAGATGAATGCGCAACAATATAAATTATCAGATTTTGTTCACGACCAATTGTACAAATGCAAAAAGTTGAATGTCTGAACATTTTTATGGTCAGATTTGACAAAATCTGTATTTTAAATGAATTTTCCATGAATTTCCACACGAAGTACGGAATATATAATTTGATCCTTAAATCCAACTCAAATGATGAAGAAAAAAAAGTGACAGTATTCATCCAGAAATGTATTTCTGCGAAATCATCTATTTTCTAGGAATGCACTGCAAAGCGAGGATATGTGGAGTGCTGTGGCCTCGTGGTTAAGGGCACTGGATTTGTGGTCTGCGGGTAAAGCTGCAGGTTGTGGGTTCGAGTCCAGCCTGGGGTCATGGTGCGTGTGCCCTTGGGCAAGGCACTTTGTCACTCATCAAGCTGTAACTCCCCTGGGAGCCAAGATGGTAGTTGGAATGTTTACTTGGCCCAATGATCAGGGTAATAATAATGTAAAGCGCTTTAATCTTATTTTATTTACGTCATCTTTAGTGAGGGTAGCTCCGATCAGTGCAGGGCACTGCTTTCCATGGAGGCCCTCAATATGAGAAATATGAGACCCATTATGTAGCACCTTTAAGGGTTACAAGGTGCTGAGGCGCATATTGCAGCCACTGCCAGAAACACCGGGGCAAACCCCTTCTCTTTAGCGATAAGTGTTACTGGGGTCTTTAACGTGCATTACACAACACATGGGACCTACGGCTTTACGTCCCATCCGAAGGACGAAACAATAATGATTAAGTGCCTTGCTCAAGGGCACAAGTGTCCGGGCCCAGGCTCGAACCCACGCCACTGTTGCCTCTGAAACACCAGAGCATGAGTCCGGTGTTCTTAACCGCTAGGCCATGACACTCCACTTAGTTAAAAGTGCTATATAAGAACCTGTTATACGTCTAAATGTAACATTAAGGAGACATGATATCGTAATTTTCATGTCTCCCTAATGTCACAGCCCCCCCCCCCCTTTAGAGGCAAAATTCTATCATTGCAATTAGGTTATTTTTGTTGCTCATGGTCTCATTAGTAAAAATACCGAAATTTGTGGAAAAGGGACAAGGGAATATTGGGTTATGGCACATTTAAGTTTGAAAAATGCACAAGTCTATGGGAATGTCTCCCAAATGTCCAATTAAAGGTAATTATTATTATTATTAAGGGTATAATTGTGCGTTTGATATGTTTTAATCACTCTGTTTAAGACCGCTTGGAGTGAGGGTGCTGATAATTACCCGAGCTGAAGGCAAGGGTAATTATCAGCACTCGGACTGCAAGCCGTCTTAAACAGAGTGATAAATGCCGACCAAGCACATATTTATTCCCATTCATACATACCTTTTTTGGTAAAAAAAATTTCAAAACTTTTCAGTCGAAAAACCCCGATTTTGTTCAATAAGTTCACTCCATGTTTTGTGAAACACCCCTCTAGCTAAATAATGGAGTGTCCAGCTCGCGAGTAAGATGTAAACAACTCCTCTTATGAAGATTGGCGCGCATGTCACGCGTACTGCACGATGTCGCGCAGAATGCACTGCGTTGTGAGTTTAGTAGGACTATAAAATACTGACTCACTAATAGTATTGCGCATGCCTACGTGAGGATTGTGAACGTTCAACCAATAATATGTTCAGGGCACAATCAAGTACTGTAATTTAGGCAATTGCTAGTGTTTTTTTATAACATGACCCAATATCCAAGGTTAACTACATTGTACTTACCAATTTGTTCAATTCTGTTGGCAGCCAAATTAAGGTTACGAAGCTGTACAAGTTCACCAATCCCCTAGGAATAAATGTAATAAAGTTATAGTTATGCCACCAAAAAAATTCACTAAATGCATGCAAAAATCGACAACACTGATAATTTTCAATAACTAGAACGGCGAAGCCGCCATGGCTCGCTGTCGAAGGCAGGAAGGAGGCTGAAGGTAGGGTTGGGGATGGGCATGATGGGGATCAGGATTCTCGTTGATGTGCCAAGGTGTGAGGGTCAGTTTTTAAATGCCAACATAAAAAGTCAACAAATGTCCTAATAAATACATGTACGTATATGTATATATAAATACATGAAATTTTTCCATTGTTAGGGTATTAAGTTCCCAGTTGTGGAGCCTTTTTTTGCAGCCCCCACAGAATCTTCTGTCCCCATACATGAATTACCATGCAAGAACTACCAGTATTGTGTAGTCCCCACAAATGCGGAACATGAATGGGTATGTACATGTACATGTATATAGACACAGTAACATCACCACATGCCTCAAACCTTACCCCATCCCCGCACTGCCCCCCCTACCCACCCCAACCCCCTACCCACTCCATCCTCCCCCACCCATCCCCACCCCATCACCTACACATCTCAACCCCACCCAAACTCCAATCCCTATCTCCTCCCACTTCCCCCACCCTCCCTCCCCCATCCCCCTACTACCACCCAACCCATTCTCCCATACCCATACATCCCCACCCCAACCCCTACTCCAATCCCTACATCCCACCCCCTCCCCCACCCTCCCCTTACCCAACCCCTACACCCACCCACCCCCTACACATCCCCAACCAAACCCAAACCCTACTTCAATCCCTATATCCCCCTCCTCCCCCACCCCCTCCTAACCCAACCCCTACACCCACCTACCCCATCCTCCCCTACCTGTCTCCCCTACCTGTCCCCACCCCACCCCTACACATCCCCACCCCACCCAAACCCATTATTCCAACCCCCATCCTCCCGTACCCCATCCCCACCAACCCAAACCCCTATTCCCAACCCCGACCCCACCCCCATCCAAGGGCGGATCCAGAACACAATTTTTTGGGGGGCCCAAAAAAATTTTGGTCCCCCCAAAAAGTGGGTCTAAAAAATTACGGCGTGGGGTTTGGGGCCCGCTTAAGGGCCCCGAAAAAATTTTGGATTCTAGATGCTCTGTGGTGCGATCTGAGGCAATTTCTGACCACTTTAACCAATTTTTTTTTAGGAAAAGATGGTGGTGAACTCATTGCCTGCCTTTATTGCGATGTCACATTAAAAAAAAAAAAAATTGGTTTCGTTTTGGGGGGGGCCATGGCCCCCTTTGGCCCCCCCCTGGATCCGCCCTTGCCCCCATCCTCCCCTAACTATCCCTATACCCATCCCTACTCCAACCCCATAAAACTAAAAGATCAAACCAGAAGCACATGCACATAAGTATACACATGAATGCTCCCCCAAAATGCATAGTGTACATGTTATACAGGTATATATACATTGTACATGTACATGTTCTCCCACTATACATGTACATGTTGTACATTTAACAATTAAAAACTGTAACATTTTCCTTAATTAAAATTCCTCAATCAAATCATTAAATTAACTGCATTGAAATGAACCTAATTGTAAGTTATTCTCAGACTGATATAAAACACGCAACACACAATCATTTTTGTTTGTATGTAATTTGCCACAGCTATTTATTCAACACAACATTGCCAGATACCATGGGCAAACTGGCAAAGAAATACAATATAGTGGGATACACCAGATCCCCTGGGTTGACCAGACCCAGCCATGAAAAGGGCACACCAGGCCCACCAAATATAGGTCACACAAAATCCTGAAATTATGGCACACCAGGCCTATCATATATCGGTCACACCATACCTAGGTCACACAATATCCTGAAATTCGGGAAATTAAACCAGACCCTGGTACATAGGGCACCAGACCCAGCCATGAATAGGGCACACCAGGCCCACCATATATAAGTCACACCAGACCCTAATAAAGAGGGCACACCAGACGTAGTTACATAATGGAAGAAAATCTTGAATACAAATACCAAAATTGAACTATTAATAAACAATTCAGGCACAGGATGTTCCCCCGCTTAAAGGGAACATGAAATAAAATTTGGATTGCATTTTTTTGGCTTAAATCAATAAAGGATGATGTTCTTAACAATATTTTGTGTATGGCGGTGTTTATTTTCTGGGATAAATGGGGGAAAATAATTTGTGAACATGTTTGGTCAAACTACTCCGCCCCACAAAGGGAAGCTTCATTAACATAAAACTTCGCGAGGGGTATGACGCAAATCAAGGGAGAGACTTGCCGCGCTGCGGGGGGCACAGGCATTGCGGCGTGCATCATAATACATGTACATATACATTGCGGCACTGAAAGTTTTTCTGGTGTTTCGTTCGGAATCGAGAAGAAATAACACCCAATTTTCGGCCATGCCAACAAGGTGTGTGGCTGCTGGGTGTAGCAAAACTACCAAGGATGGAGTAAGCCTTCATTTGTTTCCAGTAAATCCGAAATATCGGAGCATTTGAAGAGCCAAAGTGAAGGTAAATACCACAGCAAAGTGGTCCGGGCCCAGTGAGTTCGCGGCCCTCTGCGCTGCACTTTGAGCCGTCGTGCTTTGATGCTGGTCTGTACAGCAACTTGGGCTCCTTTAACGCAAGGAGCTATGGGAGGAATGGCCCCTAGTGAACCTCCAGGGAGCCATTACAGTGCCTGTCACAACAAATGTAAACTGTCATAGTATATTTACATAGTATGATAGGGCAATTAATAGTGAATGTAATAAAGTTATTGGCCGTTATGATAGGGCAATGAAAATGTTTAACCTGTGTCTGTCTAATTCCTGCCAGAAAATCTTCCCCAGACTGAACCAACGGGAGGAATAATCGCCTCTTGGTACACATCCAAGAAACGAATTGAATTCAGTAAGGCATAAGACGTTTATTCCTACTGCAACAGCAGAAAAGCTAAAAAACATTTTTGTCCCACACGAGTACCCTACGAATGGAGGTGATGAGGTGGAGGTGGGCAATTTGAAAGAAAATTATACTCATTGTGCATCACACAATGGGCTGTGACAAAGTGAGCTTAAAGTTGCACTTTCTTTTCCCACCAAAGTCAACCAGTAATATAAGAAGCTGCCCCATTGGCTGAAAGTTTGATGTAACATGAGTTCTCATTGGACTAATCCTTCTGTTTTGATTGGCTGACACAGTATGCATAAATTAACACAGGATCCTGTTTACAATCCTGTGTTTTTCACAAAAAGTAAAATGGCATTTTAAGTAGGAAATCCTAAACCAAATCTGAACATACATGCATGGAAAGAAAGCTGTTAAAATGTACTTTACATACAGGAGAAAAGTTTTCCACTTGAGAAGCTGATACTGTGTAGAATCTTTTATTTTCCATCCCATTTGTAATGTCATTTGTGCAAGTCAACATATTTACCCATCCTCACACTCTGTCCTTTACAGAATTGCTACAAATTTATTGATCTTTCAGTGAGGCAAAAACACACAGCTAAGGATACAATGGTTTTCTGTGTCACAAAGTGCAATGTCCTTTTATAAGTGGAACTTCACTCAAAGCTTAACACACACACACACACACAGCCTACAAGTAGAAATGCATATTCATGAAAAAGTTTGCCAACTCAGCAGCTGATTGGCTGCTCAAGATAGCTCACTATCCTGTGTTGCCACAAGGTTTGCAATGGCATTTTGTGCAGTAAATCTTTACACAGATATATGCGTGCATGCATGCATGCATGCCTGCACAGTGTGTTTCCAAATAGTGGAATTCTACTGTGGGACTTCGATAGCAAAGATAATTAGTAAATCGTACATGTATGTAACACAGCTGATTTCTTATTGTGAATGGCATGTACACAGCAGTTAATTAATTTGATGTGTGATATACAAGTGTGCTTCCGTGGCAATTTCCTAAGCATTTTGTCACACATGCGTAAGTAAAAAACACCAACTGAGAAATTCTGATAATAAAGCATTTGATCATTTATTCAATGATAAAATGTCTTATAGAGATGATACATGTAAACTGCATTTTCTTTTACCAAGTTAGCTAGAACCAAAAATTTCAACATTTTTATCTGAACGCGGACGTCCCGACAGACGTACGCCGGACAGACGGACGGACGGACAGACGGACGGAAATCGGTATTACATAGGCTCGCATCTGCTTCGCAGCTCACCAAAACTAATTGAGATACACTTTTTGTTGAAGGGGGATTGGGTCATGAAAGTAAGTTTGCACAAAGAGGAGGGGGCAGTTGACATTGCATACACCATGCATACAGGGCGAGAGGGTCCAAACCCATGCATACGGTACATACGCAGAGGGATAATTTGCTTTACAATGAATTGTCATGAAATCAATGTACTTTCTCATATGTATTAGTTCAACCCCTCAACCCCATCATTTATACTTATCTTTCAAGTGCCACTGCTAGCCAATGCCTGCAGAGGTCATTAAACTTCAGATACTGCGACATTACTAAAAAGAAACTGCTTCAAGTAGCTGGCAAATATGGAATGCATGTGCGTAAGGGGGGGGGGCCTAAATAGTACATGTGCAAACTTTTAGGATGCCCCACTGACAGCAGAAATGTGTACACCAGACAATATCACTACAACAATGAGGCTAACAATGCATGTGCGTAAGGGGGGGGGGGGGCCTAAATAGTACATGTGCAAACTTTTAGGATGCCCCACTGACAGCAGAAATGTGTACACCAGACAATATCACTACAACAATGAGGCTAACAGAGATGAAGATGACACGTTTTTGATGTAGGGTGATGATTTTTTATGTACATCCCTTTATTCACTGGAAACAAAAGTATCAGATCATGTATATATACAAACTTCAATAAACTTTAACAAGATTATTTGATTCAGAAAAGTGTTTAATTTACAGGGTGAATTGTTTTCTTAAAGTATTTCAAATAATGTGCTATTCTGAGGATTGTCGTG